AATGGGTATTGTTTTACAAAAGCAATAATTCTTCTTGTAGAGCCAAGAATACACCTTTTTAATGGTTTTTTAAAAGTGGATGTGAGAGATTTGGGGCAGAAAATGACTTGCCAGATGTGAGGAATGCCAAATTTTGTTCATACTTAAGAGTAAATTTGAAGAAGAATTTGTCTCTTTGCCTTATGTTGAATCTACTGGCAGTGGGGAAGAAAATCCTCCTGAGGTGCCCTTCTGCATCAGTAGGAGTCCAGGCACCAAGGAGAAGCTGGGAAGAAAACACACACCCTCAGCATGGAAAGGTGTGTGTGTCTATTCCATTCCTATGTGTGTATCTATGTATCCAACTAGTCCTTCAGCAATGGCATTTTTTTTTCAGAAGGTCTTTGGGTGTTAAGAGAAACTTCACATAAGCAGCTCTTTCCTCATAATTTGGATGTAGTCCCATAGTCCTGTGTTAGTGTGTTAGCTTAGTGTCTTAAAACAATAATCACTTATTTAGCTCCAATTAATTTGGTCAGTATTTGGAGCTGGGCTCAGCTGGATTGTTCTGGTCTTGACTTGGCTTATTCAAAGAACATGGGCAGCTTCTGGGACAACTGGGGATAGCTGGGCTAGGATGACCTCAGGATGTCTAGGATAGGATGTTCACTCCTCCTCCACATAGTCGCTCATCTTTCAGCATCCTGGGATTTTTCATATCATATGGCAGCTGCCTAGAAGGAGAGCTCTAGGAGGGAGAGTGGGGGCACATAAGCCTTCCACTGCATCCTACAGGTCTAAAGTGATAAGTAAGCTTAACCTAAATTATACAGATAGAAAAATGGTCCCACTTCTTGATGAGAAAAGTTGCATAGCCAAACGACTCGCTAAAGAATAGAGTGGAGAGTTGTGGCCACTTTTGCAATCTTTCTAAGACAGCCAGTCAGTGAGCATGTATGCAAACAAATAGTTTAATCACCTCATCCTGAAATTCAAAATTGAACTCATGGCCTTCTTAAATATCCATCTGGATTCAGAATGGTTTGGTTTTGCTCACATACATTTTAGAAAAACTTGTCATATCTGCCTTTGTTTCATGTTGTATTTTAAAGAGGATGGTATTTTTCCCCTCAAAAACCATTTATTGATTGTGTAAGGAAGTTTGTTGATCCTAGGAATCCAGAAGTGAATAGAGAACACAGCTCCCATTATCCAGGGATGACTGAGATTCCATTTCTCCAGGTGTAAGAAACTTGTCTCCCCTCAGAGAGTGAAACAGAACATTAAGTGTAGTTTTAAATTATATACAATTGGTGTATTATTTACTGTGTGTATGTTTAGAGAGTGTTGCATAAATATATGTGTGTGCATAAGAATGTGTAAGCTTAAAAACAATTTACTACAGTAAAAGACATTGTTGTACTCAGGGCTTAGAAGGGAATGTATTCCATACAGGACACAGACTTTATAAGATTATTTTATAATAGTTACCCAAAGAGTCAAATGTAAAAGTGTGTGAGAGGTCTGTCCACACACTCGAGACCCAAAGAATCCAGCTGAGAGCCTAGATCCCCTAGCAGTGTCCTGCATGAGTCCACCTAAAGATTTAGGGCCCATGACAATGTCCTCCACAAGTCCAGGGCCCACAACAATGTCTCACATCTGTGCTAGGAAGGCCCAAAGGTCAGTGGCAGAAGCTAGAAATTCTGTGCTGCGGGGAGGGGTGAAGGATCTGGGCCAGTAGGCTGAGGGATCTGCACTGGAGCCAGAAAGTGACTCTCAAGGTAAGAATCAGAGCTCCCCGCAAAAGAACCACAGCCATCCTCATGGACGGCGAGGACCCAAGCTCCTCTCACAGTGAAAGCAGCTGAGTTTACATCAGGAAAGCCAGCTTGATAAGTTTCTCCAGGAGAATCAACAGCAATAAGCTTCCCCTCCAGTTCTCCTTTTATGCTGTTGGCAACAATCCTCAGGCCTTCCACACCCAGCACCGTACAGATTCAGTTCAGCAGTGCTATAAGTTAACCATTAGTTAACCCACCACAGCCATATTGCCATTAATCTCCCTGAAAATACTCCACCTTGCTTCAAATAAGTTTACCCCATCATTCTTGCCATTTTTATTTTATTGGAGCATGTTTGCAGATGTATTTAATTACAGCATACTAATCATAAAACAACAGGTCAATGGATTATAAAAAAGAAGAAATCCAATCATTATACAGATGAAGAAGAGAAAAATGTGATTAGCACCCCCAAACCCTTGCTTTGTGCTCAGACCAAGTTTTCCCTCCCTTTTCCCTGCCCAAATATAGCCACCCTACCAGCTTTGAATACCATAGACTGGTTCTGCCTGGTTTTAGACTTAAATTACATGGTGCATACATATTTGTGCCTGACTCCTTTTGCTCAATATTTTGGCCATGATATTGTGAGAAGCCATAGTTGTTTCATTTATATTGGTTTCCTCTTTCTTTCTTTCTTTCTCTCTCTTCTTTCTTTCTTTCTTTCTTTCTTTCTTTCTTTCTTTCTTTCTTTCTTTCTTTCTTTCTTTCTTTCTTTCTTTTCCGTACCAGGGCTCATCTCACTTGGGACCTTGCACTTGCCAGGCTGGCACTTATGTAGCTGACTTATCTCCCCAGCCCCTGTACTGGCTTTCACTGAAGTATAATTTATATGTTAGTTCTGTAGTTAATAGCTACTTAAATTGTTTCCAGTTTGTGTTTATTATGAACATTTCTATAGATGAATTTTGGCAGTTGTGTACACATATTACTGATAAGTGTACACTTAAAAGTAGAATGGCGGGGCTGGTGAGATGGCTCACTGGTCTAAAGCATCTACTTAGCAAGCTTAGCAAAGCACAGGGACTGCTGTTCAGTCCCCCAGCACCACATGCCAGCCAGCCCCGCCCCCTGGTGGGCTGAGCTGGCCACACATACACATAAATAAATAAATTTAAAAAAAAAAGTTTAAAAAAAAAAAAGTAGAATGGCTATGGCATGGAGCCTCTTGATGTTCAAATTTAGTAGAAATGCCCAGTTTTCTATAGTAGTTATTGTACCAGCTCATCCTCCCACCAGCAGGGCCGCACATGCTTATTGATGCATATTGTCAGCTTGTTTCATGTTAGACATTTGCAGCGATATACAATATTTCATTATGACTGTAATTATTTCCCTCATATTAGTGAAGTACATGACTTTCCACACTTAATGACTATTTAGAAATCTTTTTTGTGATGTGCCAGTTCAAGCATCTTACCAATTAATCTGTGCTTTGCCTATTTAGCATTGATTTGCAGGAGTACTTGTAAAAGTCTAGACACAAGTCCCTTGTAGCCTGTATGTATTACCAGTATCTCATCTCATGCTGTGCCTCCTTTTATGGTGGCCTCGGATGAACAGAAGTTTTAATTTTTATGTCTTCCAGGTATCTATCTTTGTACAAGTACCAGAACCTTAAAAAGTAATCTGATTTTATGAAATTTTACAGTATATGTCCTCTAAGTTTTTCTTAAGATTACCTTGTCATTTGATTTGAAACTGTCTCATTGCTATGTTTATCAATAAAACTTTGAAAAGAAAAAAAAAAAAAAAGATTACCTTGTCTATCAGCTTATTGTTTCCAAAAATTTAGCATCAGCTTGCTGACTGAGATTTTTATATAGAACTTTATTAAATCTTTGTTTTTCCTGCATTTTAGGGAAAGATCTACAGGGTGTTCAGGGTCTCACCACTAGATCGGACTTGTAGTGATCCACCTGTTTACAGCCTCCCCAGTGCTGGGATTACTGGCACACACCACCACACCCATTCTCAAGTACCATCTTGGGGTACCCCGGGGGCAGGGCCGGCACGACAGGCCTGGGGATCAAACCACAGGCCCTTACGCCTACTTGCAGGCATTTTAATCTGCTGAGCTATTTGGCCAACTCTTTAGAACTTTACTAAATCTATATGGATCAGCTGAGCACAGTGGTACATACTTGTAATCCTAGAGCTTGGGCGACTGAGGCAGGAGGACTGCAAGTTTGAGTCGTACTGGAACAACGTAGCCAGATCTTGTCTCAAAATTTAAAAAAAAAAAAAAAAAAAAAAAGAACTAGAGATTTAGGTCAGTTCAAAGACCCCAGTTGAGTTCCCTGTACTGCAGGAAAAAAAATTTACATGTGTTATTTGGGACACAATTGAAAAATTTGAGCCTTCCTTTATACAATCATGGTATATTTCTTCATTTATTTAGGTCTTTAATTTTGCTTATCAATATTTTGCACTATGCCATATGGAATCTTGCAAGCTTTTTTATTAAATTTAGTTAGTTTAGTTATTAAGTTTAGTTTAGCTTAGTTTCCTTTTGTTAAAGTTTCGTTGAGACAGGGTCTGGCTGTGTATTCCAGGCAGATCTTGAACTCAATATATAGTCCAAGCTGGCCTCAAACTCATAGCAATCCTCCTGCCTCAGCCTCCCAAATGCTGGGATTACAAGTGTGTGCCACCACACCCAGCTAGGTGTTTGATTTTTTTTTTTTTTTATGTTGTTAAAAGCATCCTTTAGGGGCTGGCGAGATGGCTCAGTGGTCTAAAGCACCTACTTGGAACAAGCTTGGCAAAGCACAGGGACCACGGTTCAATCCCCCAGCACCACATGCCAGCCAGCCCCGCCCCCTGGTGGGCTGAGCTGGCCACACACACACACACACACACACACACACAATAAATAAATAAATGTTTAAAAAAAATAAAATAAATAAAAGCATCCTTTAAATTTTTTGCTTCCTGTTTATTACTACTATGTAGAAATATAGTGGATATTTATATTTAATGTGGACCCAATGTTCTTGACAATCTCATATATTAATTGTAATGGTTTATAGGTACATTCTTTGGGCTACCTATGATTCATACATGATAGTGTTATTATTTATTCTTTTCCAGTCTTTGTGCATTCATTGCCTTTTCTGGTTCTGCACTGACTCTGTGCCATTAGACCTAATGAGGTTTTTCCCTCCTTCCTTCCAGATGAGGCGGAGGCCCATATTGACTATGAGGATAATTTCCCTGATGACAGGTCTGTGTCATTCAGAGAGCTCATGGAAGATTCCCATTCAGAAGCAGAAGAGGACAAAGATCAGAGAGAAGCCTCTGAAGAGGCACCGAAACAAGATCGTCTGGTCTCCATTTCAGCGAGGAAAGAAAATATTGCCCGGCAGAAAGCTTTTGTTCTAAACACAGGCTTGCCTGGCTCAAGGAGTAGTGTCCCCACAGACTTGCCTAAATCTCAGCTAAACCAAAAGTACTCATTCTGGTTTCCTGCTGAGACTTTCCACAAGCCTGGCTTAGAAAAGGATGTCTACGATGATACCAAAAAGCGGTTTCCTGCTGGAGACAACCACAGTACAGTGAAACTGGTCCCGGGTGAACCTGACACCAGGGTGACCTACGGAAGCACTGATGGTCCCTTGGGCTCCTCTGTGGACAGGAATGACAGCAAAGCAGGGGACCCAGGAGTGAGTAGCAGTGATGAATCCTGGTTAGATGGCTACCCTGTGACAGACGGGGCTTGGAGGAAGGGAGAAGCGGGAGAGGAGGATGAGGACAGGGGGCCTGGATTGGTTGGACTGGATGAAAGTGTTCTGGCAACTCCAGACCAGCCAGCTGTCGTGGAAGTTGAAATGCCCAGAAGTACCACCCTCTCACCAAGCAGCAATATGGCCCCCAGTTCAGCTCTTCCCTCTGAAATGCTAGATGTGGAGGCTTTTGCTTTTGGACCCATGAATGTGTCTAAGACCAAAGGTCCCCAGGACAAGGACGATGCCTTGACCAAGTACCAGTCAACTGTACCCTGGAGATTCACAACAGAGAAGTCTCCCATGACCTCTCTACCCTATGAATTCATCAGCTCTACCTTGGAGACCAAAACAACTACTGTCCAGCAGGTGCCTGGCAACATCCTGTCCACCAGCATGGCACCCACCAAGCTTCCAGTGGAAACCACTGCTCCTGAGGTCAAGGACAGCTTCCCATACCTGCTGTCTGAGGACTTCTTGGGACAGGAGGACCCTGGGCCAGTTGCGAGTGAGGAGCCCCTTTCAACCTTGGAGCCGTGTGTGGGGGATGAGTGTCCCAGCCTCAGCAGAGGCCCTGTGATCGCCACCATTGTCACCGTCCTATGCCTGCTGCTGGTCTTGGCAAGCGTGGGGGCTGTGTTGGGTTACCGCCGGTGCCAGCACAAGAGTTCTGTGTACAAGCTGAATATGGGCCAGCGGCAAGCCCGACACTACCACCAGCAGATTGAGATGGAGAAGGTCTAGTCCCTGTCACAATGGGCTCTCTCAAAGCCACTGGAAGGGACATTAACTGTGATGCATCACACTGACAAACACTGATAACTCGCAAGAGCACAGGTGGAGCAGGGATGGTCTGTTTCTCCTCAGGTTTGTGTTCTGTATACTGAAAAGCAGCTCTGGAAGCACCCAACACATGTGTCAATATCTTCTACCTGTCTGCCCTGGAACTGATTGCACTAACCCCAGACCTGTGCTTGGGTCCTAACTCCAATATAAGGTCCAGCTTCCTTTGTCAAGATAATGCCTTTTTTTTTCCTTTTTTAAGAAAAAAAAAAAAAAATCACTGACTCTGACTCCATGCCCTGAAATGTTTGAAATAGGTTTGATAAACTGAGTATTTGAAAGCAATGTTGTTGAGAACATAAATGTTACTTGTGGGAGTGGGACACAGAAGAATGATGGGTTATTTGCTTTTAAAATTATGATGTCCCTAAGAGCAAGTGAACCAGGAGCCAGAAGGCTGTCCACAAACTTGGAGAGTCTGTATAACTGGTAAAACTGACATTTTGCTCTGGGGAGCTGAGTAGTGAAGATACACACCCACCTCCTCTCCCTCCATTCTGTGGGACAGCCAGCATTTTTTAAAGACAAGGTGAGCTTTGTAGCAGGAAGGACCATTTCCTATAGTGGTCTTTGACTCGTCTGTGCCCAAAACTGACTTGAAATTTCTGCCAGGACTAACAAAATTCAGTCCTTAGGTTCCTCTCTCTGAATTAACCATTTTGTCGAACTCTAGTAAAACAGAATGATTTGGGGAAAAATGTTTGAAGAAATCCCAAGACTAGAGTGTCTTGATAGAGGAGAGGAATTAAAAGGGAACGCGAAATGACCTGTCAATCTAGTTTTTACTTATGGGGACGAGTCCAGCCCCGCCTTTGAGCAGTCCACTTCCCAGCACCTAGATCCTTTCAAGGTGGCTCAGAATCACTCATGACAGTGGTTCTCAAAGAGCAGTCTCCGGACCACCTACATCAGCATCATCTCCCAACTGGGAGCTAGTTAAAGAGTCAAATTCTCCAGGCCTACCCCAGACTCAGGAAACAGCACACCTGGGGTGGGGCCCAATGCTCTTAAATTGGAGAGCCTTTGTTTTATACCCTACATTGTGAACTTTGAGGCCAGTGGAAGCACTGGAAGCATTGGACAGGTGACACCCATGGTCTGTCCTGCATGAAAGTCAGGCTCTGCCACATGCATCTAGAGCACTGTTGAAGCTGCCAAAATGCCACATCCAGCAGACTCTTGTGTCAACCCAGAAACTAAACATGACATATTTTTCTGATATGAATCAGACATTATTTTCTTATCAAATAGTTTTCGGTGCTAAAATTGATAAAGACAATGTATTTCTTCTGAGACACCAGTGTTTTGTGTGGAATGAGAGAAATCTGCATTTTTTAACAATATATATAATTGGAAAATTGGTGATGTTCTACAATAAGAAGAAAGGAATTCCTGCAGCATGTTTTCTGCCCCGACACCTCTTTGTAGTGCAAGCTTTGGAAAATGAATAGGCTAAGTAGCTTGAAGATAGTACAGCATAGTCAAAGATCTTAATTCCCATAACTGGGCGATACAAAGGCCTGCAGCTACCAACTGGAACACCTATGCATCGGATGAGATCCAGAGCAGTAGGAATGAAATGTTTTCTGCATGTACCAAAGCTTCAGAACAGAACAGAATAAGAGCCAGACACTGTAAATATTTTTAAATTAGATTTGAATCTATGACAACTTTTTCTATTTTAACTATATAAAAGTTTGTCAACATTAGGATTGTGTTAGTATTACATAATAACCTAAAACACTGAATTTACACCAAAACATAAACAGGCAATATGAATACAAATGTACTAATGAATTTGTTATAAATTATTGATATATGTAAATGTATTGTTGCAGACCTGGACTGTAAGGTAAACCTAATACATCAGTTTTTATTGACTTGATGTTATCCAAATTATGTTGTGAAATCTAAACTGTATGTCATTATGTATGTTTGGAGACTGATAAAGGTTTAATGCTCATGAAAACTGACAGGGGGAAGAGGTTTCATTAACACAAAGCTTCCGATATATTTTAATAAATATTTCCCCAAATATTGCTGAATGTCTTATTTCTGGGTTACTATACCATGATTATTCTTTAAGGATTCCCTGGTATCTTTAAAATAATGCCTGAATACTTAGACTCCATTCTTCCCTCTGTAAACCTACCTCTTAGCCATGTTACTCCCCACAGCAGGATTGCAGGGGAGCCCCTGTCCCTGTCCCTCTTCCTCACCCCAATCACAGAGGAGCAACCCAGGCCCCGGTTATTCGGAGTATGAGTCCTGCACTAGCAACATGGATGCTGCCCCTAGGAGCTTGGTAAAACTGCAGAACCTCAGGCACAGCCCTGGACCTGCTGCATCAAAACTGCCATTGAACAAAATGCCCAGTTTGGGGGTACATCGTAAGGTTTGAGAAGCACCAGCCTAAGAGACCAAAACTGATCATCTCCCTCTTCTCAACTGACTTGGTACTCAAAGGAATCATTAAAGTAGGTTAGATAGAGCAATTATTCACAAAAGTGTGGGCAGAGTGAAGAGAAGCCCAACAGGATGGTGGAGCACTAGTAGGGGCCCCAACGAAAGCTTCAGCAACAGGGCTAGAGCTCTGGCCTCACAAATGCAGCCATGGTCAGTCTATGGCCTGGAAGAAACAGGTGTTAAAGACCTGTCCTACCTCTTCTTTCTGAGATCTCCTGCAGGCTTGTCCCTTTGGCAACAAGAAATCAAAGGGCAAGGGATACAGGCAAGGTAGACCATAGAGGTCAGGCTCCTGGAACCCAGGGAAAGGTGGAAGAGAGACTCAGAGGGATAAATAGTGAAATCCAGCTCTGAGGCATTAGCACCACTTCCTCTCCTTTATGTCTCTCTACTTCTATGAGCATCAGGAGTCCACATTCTTAAGCTTCCCATATTGTGGACACTGTTGACAGCCCTTAGAAATCTCCCCCACTGGGCAGGTGAACCCATTTCCCAGATGTCCTGAGTGTCAGTGCTAAAGTGCTCATAAGCATTGAAGTATACCCTGCTCACCCAGAGAACTGCCTTCACCCAGGAAGTGAGACCCGTCTCTACTCTGCTAGATTGGTTACCATGGGATACAAAAGGCCAGCCTCCTCGTCTCAAAGGGAGACCAACTCCCAGCCCCAGAGCCTAGATCAGGCTGAAGCTGGTCCAACTGAGAACACATCTCCCCTTAGCAGGGGAGAAACAGCAAGTACAGATGTGAGAAACTTAGATATCACTAAGTTTCTAGTTTGTTCCAGGCTGGGCTCCAACTTGCAATCCTTCAGCCTCCCATAGGATTGGGATTATAGGAGCTCATCACCACATCTGGCTTTTCACCCTTTCTCTTGGGAGCACTTTGTCACCTGCATCAGGCCTTGCTTCAAGGGATCGCGACGTAGGAGGCCTCTCATTCCCTACACCTCCATTCCTCCTCAGTCCACTCTTTCACTGTGTTCCCTGATACTCCTCGGCTGGCACCAACAAAATCATCACGCTCTCGGCTACACCTGCAAGGAGCTGATGTTCAAACTCACCTCTTCCCCACAGTTTAAGTATTGAATTAAAACAATAAAAAACCTGAAGTAACTTCGGTTTACAACTCACATGTAAAACCTAAAAATGTTATTGCCATGCACCTCTTTTTGTTTTTGTTTTTGTACAGGATGGTTCCTCTCTTTCCATCAGCCTCCCCCTGTATTTGCCCTTTAGCAACACACAGGGAAGTTGTTGGTAGTCAGGCCTGAAGAAGCTTTGGGTCCTTGTTTGAAATAGGGTCTAGGTAGTATTCCTACTAGGATCCCAAAACTGGACATTTTTCCTAGTAGGATTCCCAAAGCAAAACTTTCCAGGGAGAGGAATGAGCCTGCATCACCTCACCAGACCTTGGCTGGCTCATGGCTAGTGAGGACCACCTCTGCTTCATGAGATCCAGGAGTCTTTAGTAGAAGAGTTCTAATTGTTAGGTGAATGTCAGAAGTGTCACGGACTCGAGAAAGCAGAGCTCATTATAACGTATGTCCTGAAATGACTGGGAGTGGCTCAGATGGCCCATCCAGCAGACAGAAAGAACACAGTGGTGAGTAAGCAAAATCAAACAGGCTTGTAAAAAATGTTTTCAACTATACTGTCCAAGTTTTAACTTCCTACAAGAATGAGATTACAAGGACCACAATACTTTAAGGAAGAGAGGTAGAAAAGGATACCAAGAACATTTAGTATGTCCTACTGACTGCCAACGTGAGTGACAAAATTCTGGGATATATTGGTCAAATTATTCAGTTCCTTCCTATTCTCCTAAAGTGAGGCACTGGTATTTTACCTGCCAGATTAAAGAGGATATTGAGCCAAAGCATTCATTCAGCAGACAACTAAGTCAAGCACTTTGTTTGGAGACAGTGTTGGGTGCTGGGATCCGGCTGCTCATGTGCCTAACCTGAGACAAGCACTCTCTCTGCAACCACCCATGCTCCTGACTCGTTTCTGGGGAAGGACTGGGTCGAGGCAAAGCTGGCAGATTGTGGTGTCACCTTTTGCAGGAGATGCCATGGTGACATGGGGACAGGCATGGTGACTGGCCTTGCCCCCGGCCGTAGACACAGGAAAAACCTTGGCTGAAGCCCTTTTCCTCCACCTCCCCCCACCCCCTTGTACATAGTTTAAACTCTCTACACTGGATCATTCAAGCCTGTAGTCACCAGAAAAAAGAAGTCGCTGTTTGGGGGATGGCAGATGATCAAGAGTTCAGACAGCTGCGATGAAGGATTAGTTGTGGTTTTTTCTCAGTACCTCGCTACAAACTGTGTTGCAGTTCCATGTTCAAACACTATTAAATGAGAATGTTTTTTCTGGCACTCATCCACCTTTTCCCCACAGTTTAAGTATTGAATTTGAAAAAAAAAAAAAAACCCTGAAGTAGCTTTGGTTTACAGCTCACATTCAAAACTTAAAAAACGTTATTTCCATAGATGTTGGCAGAAGCCGGCCACTGTTTATTCCACCAGCAGTCCTAATAAACCCTTTCCCATGGACAATCTAACAAATCATTTTCTGTTTGCCATTCCATTGGGTTCAATACAATTTTTGTGCTCTTAAAATTCCCTTCATAAGAACTCCTAAGAGCACACATTTCTTTCCTAAGGCAGCCGTTACGGTCACCATTCCCAGCGACTCTTTCTGGATCCCAAGGCTGAGGCCAGCAGCTTAGTGGCAGCCACAAGTACATCTCAAAACTCAAAGCTACTGTATGTTGATCATATTGGTTAGTGCTGGACTCAGCGCCGTCATTGTCTGTGAATCTGTGTGTGGGCAAACTTCCCTCAGTCTTCACTGCCCCTGTTAGGTCAACACCAGCAGTGACCCATGGCTGGCCTTGGACCCTGCACCGTGGGCAGCGAGGAACCTCCTGCATGGACTCCAAGGGGCACTAGAGCTGGACATGACCACCATGGTGTTCATCTCCCTGGGATGAGCCTCAGGAAACCAAACAGGGCCACCATTGTGCTCCATGCTGGCAGGGCACAGGACAAGTGTGGCATCTTGAGAGACCTGGCAACTCCTACAAAGCTTAAAGATATGTTTGCTTTTTCAAAGGACGGGCCAACTGATGCTGCACCGGCAGCACCTCGGTCCAGAACACTTTCAGGCTCTTCCAAGAAACACACTCAGGGAGGTGTTGGGCAGAGTTCGTTGAGTGCATCCTCACCCTGAGGCTTCGTGGTAGGTTTTGAGGGATCAGTCTTTTTTTCCCCTAAAGGTTGGTTTGATTTCCTTTGAAATTAAAAAAGAAAATGTAATAACTCAGCCTTATAGTTACGTGCTATTAATGTTGACCATACTGTCACCAGGGTGTCTTCCTCAGGGGACGCTGCTAGAGTGGGGGTGAAGGAGCTTTTCAAACCCAATGAAAAGGAATCAACTTCAGAGAGCAAACAGGATGCATAGACACGCTGACTCAGCCCCAACCTGGATCAGCATTTGCAGAAGGGCTGCCACAGGCTCCCAGGGAGAGAACCAAAGGGCAGCTGTGCAGGGCAGGCAGAAGTGAGCAGGCACTCCCAGCCAGACTGGGTTGCTGGGGAGAGCCCCTCTCATGCTCCCCCTGCAGCCAGGAGCTCAGCAGCTACCGGGTATACCCTCTACACAGTAAGGGGTCCATTCTCTGGGTTCCTCACCTCATTATAGTCCTGCCTGATGACTCTCTTTCCCACCGACTTCAAAGAAGTTTTCTCTGGTGGAGGGTGGGCACAGAAGAGAACAGGAGCCCAGCATGTTCCAGGTTATGTGCTCTACAACCAGGGCTCCTCACAGGACCCTCACTGCCAGCCAGCCCCAGTCTGACAAAGCATGCTGCTGACTGGGGCCCCCAGCCCTCCATCCCAGGGAGCTGCCCTCAGCTGAGGTCCCACCTTCAAAGGTCCCCTATCCCCCCGCAGATTCCTCACAGCCAACAACGGACAGGCCTCTCCTGCAAGCAGCCATTCCATCAACAATGCACACACCGGTCCCAGTCTCTGGCTCAGCTGATGGGGACTGGACCCCAACAGCTCTCCAGACCCGTCTGCAGCCTAAACCTCCCATCCCAACTTCAGGCCACCAGCTGTGCTCCATTCTACCTTCCATGCTTTGGTAAACAGTGACTCCATCCTTCCATTTACTCAGGATAGGAGCCCCGATGCCAGCCTCAGCGCCACTCTTTCTTACACTCCACATCCAATCTGCTGGCACATCTCATCGGCACCACCTCCAGAATAAATCTAGAACTGGTTGCATCTCATGGTGGTCCAGCCCCAGGCCTGAGCGTGGGACCTCACAGAGCCTCCTCTGGCCACCCTTGCTTTCACCCAGGTGACTTGCAGGTTCCCAACCAGGTGGCAGCGAGAGTGACCTGGTAAAGCACAGGGAAGACACTGCTCTATTCAAACCTCCAGATGGCCCTGTCTTCTCCATACAAGCCAACATCTGAGTCTGGCCATTAAAGCCCTTCTGACCTTGTCCCTAAAACACACATTTATGTTTTTCTATAGCAATTATTACTTTCTGGTACCTTGCATATGTTTCTTTCTGTTTATTTGTTATCCTTTCCTTCCTATAGGATGTAAGCTCTACAAAAACAGGGAATTTTTTTCTGTTATTCTATGCAGCACCTCTAAGTCTGGGTCAATGCCTAGCACATGGCAAATACTCCACAAACAGTCACTAAAGAATAAATACTAGACTTCCAAGCCAGACAGTGCATGCGTGTATTCCCGGTACTCTGGGAGGTTGAAGCAGGAGAACCACAAGTTCAAGCCCAGCCTGAGCAACTTAGCAAGTCCCTGTTGCAAATATAAAAAGGGACTGGTGATGCAGTTTAGTGTGAAGAGCCCAGGTTTGATACTTAGTCAGTCTCTCTCTCTCTCTCTCTCTCCCCCTGTCCCTCCCTCCCTTTCTCCCTCGGTAGATTCCCTCTGGCTTTCTATTTCCAACTTTGACACATACAACTGAGCATTGTTCTCAAATGAGATTGGCCAACCTCTATATGATCTTGGAGAGTTAGGCAAAAGCCATGCATCTGTATTCTACACATGTACTGAGCTTGTTTTCCACTGCAAGAAATGGTACAGGTCAGACCAAGTGAAGACCATCATGAGAAATGGGGAAGTTTAGCCTTTGTCTTCTGCCATTTTTCCTGGATGAGAAAAAAGAGACTAAAATCTAGAAGAGCAGAGAGATCAAAGAAGTTTGTTACAAAATCATCATCCTTTAGGAGTATATTTCTTATTTAAAAAATAATACTGACTTTTTTGGGGGGGAAAAAAACAAACCATGGAATACTGTATTCCCAACCAAAATGGTAAGAAAGGCACATATGAACCTGACAGAGGTGGGCACGGACATGAGGAAGACAGGGGTGAGAACAGGCAGGACAGACAGAAGACGGTGTGAACGTGGGGACAGAGGTGTGAACAGTGGGCAGACAGGCTCACCCCGTCACATGGAGGCCGGGGTCCCGGAGCTTCCCTTTCACGTCACAGAGCAAAGGGAAAGCTCTGAGGTACCAACAAGCTGGGGTGTTAGAAAAAGGAGAGCAAAGGATGTTTTTCCTGAACATCAAGGTGAAGACGCGCTGGCTGTTGTGGACTAGCCCGTCTCCTCCAGTTCCAAGAGGTCATCCACGTATTCCACAACCTCTCCCTGGAAGAAACAATTGGACAGCTCTGTTAAGGGACTGTCTGACTTTGAAAAGGGCCAGCAGGCAGAAACAGGAGGCCACTGTAGGCTTTCTCCTTGGGCCAGTGCAGGTGTTTCTGGCCTCAGTGAAGCCCAGGGACCTGGTTTTTCTCTCCCAGTGGCTGGGACTGTAACTTCCACTTCTTGTGAACTCCGTGTCACATGCTCTGCCATCCCCTCAGGTCACCTTTATAAAGGGGACAGTCCAGCCACCCTCCAGAAGGCCCAACTTAATGGCTTAATGAACCCTCCTGCCCCTCCCCCATTAGCAGTTTTCCCACAAGATCACTATCAGCCTTTTTTTTTTTTTTGTGGTACCAGGGATCGAATTTGGGACCTTGCGCTTAACAGGCAGGTACTTATGCCACTAAGCCATCTCTCAGGCCCACAGCCTCCTTTCCGCCACAACTATCACACATTTCCAGGCCACAGCAGCCAACCTCATTGCTACTGGCCAGCATCCCTTCCTTTGGGGAACAGCACCCCCCCCCCAGGGCCTCTATGACCCTCCCAGGCTCTGCTTCAAAGGCCTGTGCATCATGTCCTGGTTTATGTAGCACCTCCACCCACAACACAGTGCTTCAGTCTCACAACCCTGGGAGGGCCACCGTATTTTTGCCATTTTATAGATAAAAAACTGAGACTCAGTACCTTAATCCCAGTGATGGGTCTATTCCATACAAATTTGTACACAGAAAATTTCTCTGACCCTGACTTATTCAGAGTGTTTCACCTGAAAATGAGAGAGCAGGAAGAGCAGATCTGGGGCCCTCTCAGTCCAGGTTAGCAGCTCAAAACTTTGTCTGTTTCACAATCTCCTCATCCATAACATGAGGCTCAGATCTCTCTCTGTCTCTGTCTCTGTTTCTGTCTGTCTGTCTGTCTCTCTCTCTCTCTCTCTCTCTCTCTCTCTCTCTCTCTGTTTCTCTGTCTCTCTCTCTCTGTCTCTCTCTGTCTCTCTCTCTCTGTCTCTCTCCCCACACACACACATTCTTACATTTTGAGACAGGGTCTCACTAAGTCACTGAGTGGCCCAGGATGGACTCGAACTTGCCATCCTCCTGCCTTAGTCTCCCACAGTGCTCAGATTATAGGCCTCAATGCCTTTTTCCAAGCTCTGATGGTGGCAAATTCCAGCTTTTTTGGAAAGCATTTTTCAGTTTACTCCAGGTGTATCTCTAAACAATACTCCTAATGATGGCTTTTCTGTGGCTCAGCTATCCCTGAACAACATGACCATTCAATCAATTAAAACTATCAAAATGAGCTGACAAAGAAAGGATTAATCCGGAGGTCTCAAGGAATCCCAGAGAATGAATGATACAATGCTTACCCCAAGGATATAACTTACTAAAGAAAAAGAAGAAGTAATTATAGTCTGAGAGAACAATTGGGATTGGGAGTTTCTAAACTGCTTCAGAATGCTGAACAATTGAAAATTCATTGTTTTTATTAAAAAGAGTTCAACCTGACGGCTGGGTGATTGTGGCAGATTCCTGCAGGGTTGCTCCATCCACCCAGACTGTCAGGAAATGTACCACTTGGGCCCAGGTTTCCTAGACATATGTGTATCTCCACACCAGGTTCTGACCTTCAATAAAACACCCACAGCCACTCTCTTCTCAAGGGCCCCTCCTGTCACTTATTTCAGGGACAACCTGGCCTTCCAGTGATTCCAGCGAGGATATTGAGTAATACTTATTCTCTCAGCCAGACGCGTGCTGAGCATGAAGGCTCACCTCGTCATCATCCATTATATTTTCCTTAGCAAAGTCATACAGCTCCTTCTGGAGTGTAGTCACGTTGAAGTACTGAACGGCTTCCTGTTCAGACAGAAATGGAAAACAGCTCATGTGACCAGCCTCTTCATTCTGGAGCTGGGAGGAGGGCTAACAGGGTACAGGATTCCTTTCTATAGTGATGGAAATGTTTAAGATTAGACAATGCTATTGGCTACACAGCTCTGAATATAGCAACGTCCACTTTATTGGGGACTTTAAGAAGGTATATGAAGACAACAATACGCAATGTATTATTATTGTCACTGTCCTACTAACGTGTTTTGAAACTGTTTCATTACCATTTTATCTTTTTTCTCATTAAAATGAATAAAAAAAAATTTTAAAAGGTATATGGTGAATGAGTAATACTGTAAAAAAAAAAGTACAACCAACCCTGAGTAAATAAAAGAGTTTGTGTAAATGTGCTCATGTGTGTGTTAGCTGGGGAGGTGAGATGGAGCATGTACCTAATGCAACTAGGAGAGTACACAGAATCCCACTGAAAATACAAAGATCAATTAGAAAAAGCTTTAGAAAGTGACATAATGTGGTTCCCTGAGAGCATGCTCAAATTCTGAGTCTGTCCACTGTGAGTACTGAAGGATGATGCATCCACACAAGAGCCTACCATGCTCCCACTGAAAATAACAATGAAGTAGGTCTATGAACATAGGTGGAAAAATGTTCACGGTAAACAGCTAGAAAGACAAAGAGGCAAAACAGTGTAAAAGTATGATGCTGTTTTCTTTAAAAGTAAGCAA